CACAGTTTCCCTGGGTCAGGAGCCTGAGTAAAGGTTAGCTAAGTCCTCTGCTCACAAGGTTGCTAGATCTGGGGTCTCTTCCAAGCTAACACAGAACTCGTTAACCCATTTTCTTGCAGCTATAGCGCTCATGAAGGCTGTGTCTTCCAGGTCAGCAGGAAAGTTTCTCTCTCACACTTTGACTCTCTTGACTTCAGGAAGGGCTCAGTCCCTTTTAAGGGCTCACTCTATTAGGTCTGGTTCATCCAGAATAATGCCATTTTTTTGTCAACTTAAAGTCAACCAATTAGTACGCTAAACAGAGGAGTAATATACCATCAAGTTCACAAGTCCCAACCACACTCAAGACGAGGGGAATGCAGACGCAGCGGGAAGGGCATACACCAAGGGATCGGGAAATCTGGGAGCCATCTCAGAATTTTGCCTCCCAGGGCCAGGTGCAGTGGCTCACACCTGCAACCCCAGCACTTTGGGAAGCAGAGGCAGGTGGATCACTTGAGGCCAGGAGACCAGTCTAGGCAACATAGCAAGACCCTTTCTCTACCAAAAGAAAAGACAAGACATACACACACAAAAGAATTCTACCTCTCATAGCTTCTATTATAATGCCTAACCCCTCAATATTGACACCTACATATTTAAATATCTGTCCCCCTATTGAAAGGGGACAGGCTCATTTTACCTCCATGTCCTCAGTGCCAAACACCCAAAAGATATTCCATAAATACCAATTGAACAAACAAACAAATGGATAAGTTTGGCCTTATTATATCTCAGTAGAGGCTTTTTCTTTGCATTCTTGATTTAAAAGCTTCTGGAAAAAGCAAATGGGCTGGGCACAGTGGCTCACATCTATAATCTCAGCACTTTGGGAGACCGAGGCAGACAGATCCCTTGAGCTCAGGAGTTCGAGATCAGCCTGGCCAACATGGTGAAACCCCATGTCTACTAAAAACACAAAAATTATCTGGGCATGGTGGCTCACACCTCTAATCCCAGCTCTCAGTGGGCTGAGGCAGGAGAGCTGCTTGAACCCAGGAGGTGGAGGTTGCAGTGAGCTGAGATCGCATCACTACACTACCAACTTGGGTGACAGAGCAAGACTCTGTCTCTAAAAAAAAAAAAGGAAAGAAAAGAAAAAAAGTAAATGATGCATTTGATTACATACAAATAATACACAGGAAAACTGAGGAAGGAAACAAATCCATAAGCAAAATTCTAATGGCCTGTGGGCAATGCTGTCTTCAGAGGATTATGAACTCTAAATAGTAAATATTATTCAGACGTTAGTTAAATCAGAATCAGGATTGCTAAAAGATTTGACATATGGGCTTTGACGCCTGTGCTTGACCATATCTTATGTTTGATCGCAGTACTTAACGTTTATTACTGTCATTATTATTATCATTATTATTATTCAAAACTTACTCTGCTATAATGTCCTGTGGTCCTATGAGAGACGAAACTATTTCTGTCTTGTTTACTACTGCACCCTGAGTGTTAGCCCAGTATCTGGATGCTAGTAAGTGCTCAACAAAATAGTTGCTGAGTCGGTTACCAAAAACTCTAAGAAATTATTATGCTCATTTTGAAGATAAGGGAACTGATGCTAGAGAAGCCAATGTCTTACCTAAGGAAATGTGAATAGAGAGACAAGATTCCAACCCAAGTGCTTCACTCTGAAGTACACACTTTTTTTTTTTTTTATGGAATGTCACTCTGTGGCCCAGACTGGAGTACAGTGGCACAATCTCAGCTCACTGCAACCTCCACCTCCCAGGTTCAAGCGATTCTCCTGCCTCAGCCTCTAGAGTAGCTGGGATTACAGGCGTGTGCCACCATGCCCAGCTAATTTTTGTATTTCTAGTAGAGACAGGGTTTCACTTTGTTGGCCAGGCTGGTCCCAAACTCCTGACCTCAGGTGATCCACCTGCCTCAGCCTCCCCAAAGTGCTGGGATTACAGCCATGAGCCACTGTGCCCAGTCTGAAGTCTACACTCTTGATCACTCATCTACAGGTATTGATCAACTTACGACCTATACAACTTACGACCATTCGACTTTACAACCACAATCGCTAGCCACGACTGCTCCGCGTCTGGCAGCGCAAACATTGCCCAGCTGGGCGTACGACAGTGCGGACCAGCTTCCGGCAGCACTACCATCTCTGCGTGCATATAGCCTACTCAACTTATGACCAAATCGTGTTACGACTGGTCTGTCGGAGCCAACCGTGGTCTTAAGTCGAGCACTGGCTGTATAAAGGCTCACTGCTCAACCTTGCAATTACTGTATCATATCACAGTAACTTTCTGCATTTTTAAACTGGACTTGAATTGGCCTAAGTCTCTTAAACCAAAGCCTTTCCTTTAGTGTACCAATTCTAGGTCTTAGAGGTATCTGCTTGCTAAATGAGCCTTTTCCAAGAAAGCTGAGAAAGAGGAGTATCAATGATAACCAAGGCCTACATTTATGTCAGGTACCCCTCTGTACCCTCCTCCTAGGTAAAGTAAGGAAGAGGACTGATAAATTCACTTAGGACTCATTCAAGGAATCTCCCCTAGATGCCAAATGATTCTTGAAATTGTCACCAACATTCTGAAAAGATCTGGACCTTCACTTGACCAAATCCCAAGTGGACATTTCAATTCCTCGGCAAGAGATAGAAAATTAATCCATAAAGCATGTGCAAAGGAAAGGAAACATAGGGTTTTGTCAGTTTGTGCCAGAAATCTGGGAAGTTGTGTGCTTGAAAAATATTTGTGTGTAAAAATGGGAGTAGACTGGCAGAGAGTATAAATGTGATGAGAACTCTCCCAAAATACACTAGTGAGAATTGTGAAACTAGCATATGACTTTTCCCCTCCGTGTTCTCAGCCACACATTCAGTCACCTCTCAGTCCCTGCACCAGTTTCATGACGTGTTTTCAGAAGAAATAGAATCAGTAGTGCTGGAAACCTCTCTATGTAGACCCATTTTCAGGTGTTCACTCAGCTCACCCCTTATCAGTGTTGCCCCCACCACCTCTCAACAAGGACACACCCCTGGCTGCCATGTTTTCATTCTTTGCCCCCACCTAGTGGCCATAGCTGCGTAGACCAGAGTGTTATGAAGACGTTTGAGCAAAGCGTGAATCACACTTGCAGCCTGAAAGATCACCGTTCAGTTTGGTCTGGTTTCTTGTGGAGGGGTGCAGTCCTGAGCATGAGGGGTAGTGATCCACACTTGCCACGTAAACCGCAGTCATGCTTGCTTATAAGCCATCTCTTACCAGTCCACAAAAAATTAAGGACAGGAACTGAGAGTAAGGAAGCACTTAGGAAACATTATAGCGCTTTGACAGAGCAATTTTTATGTCTATTGAATCTAATAGCAAAAAATCAAGGCTTATTTTATTTCCTTTTAGTATAACTCATTTTTACTATGTTTTAGCACAGATAGTTTGAAAAATGCTGGATTTCAGAGAGGCAAAAGTGGATCTGCAGAGAGAAAAGGCAGCAGCAGATGTTTGTGAAGGAATTCCTGTGTCCAGACTATTCCTGGGGCCTGATGACATCCATGACCTTCAGTTCCAAAAACATTCCTGAATCCTTACAATGAACACCTCCTTTTTATTTTTATTTATTTATTTTTTTTTGCTTAAGCTTGCTCAGGGAATTTTATGGGCCTTGAAACTAAAGTCCTAATGAATATACTTACACCAATCTCTGGTGGGGGCAGTGGGGAAAGCCCCACTCCTCTTCATCCGAGTTTCCCCAAAAAGTTCTTCTAACCCGAGACCCCATCTCAAACAAATCCAAAACAATAATCACCTTTTCATTCTCATTCTTGTCTAGACCCTTAATTCTAAAATAAAATGGTTTTTTAATATAGGAATCATGGAGAAGAATGAGAAATGACTGACACAGATGAGGGAGTTAGTCAATAATTATGTATGGATTGCCTACTCAGTGTTCTCCCTGAGTGGACACGAATCAGCAGATGCACAAAGGCGTGCCATATGATGCTTGCATCATAGTGGGAGGGGAGAAACAACAAGCAAACGTTTCTAAACAAGGTAGTTTCAGAGAGTGATACATGCGAGGAAGGAAATCATATACAGGTATTGATCAACTTATGACCTATGCAACTTACGACCATTCGACTTTACGACCACAATCGCTAGCCACAACTGCTCCGCGTCTGGCAGCGCAAACGTTGCCCAGCTGGGCATACGACAGTGCGGACCAGCTTCCGGCAGCACTACCATCTCCACGTGCATATAGCCTACTCAACTTACGACCAAATCGTGTTATGACTGGTCTGTCGGAATCTATCGTGGTCGTAAGTCAAGCACTAGCTGTATCACAAGGAAACACAGACCAGCCACTCAAAACTACTAGATAAGACAAGGCAGAAGGTGAGGCAGAGAAGACAGACTAATAATTATAATCAATACCATTTATTAAGGGGTTAACTCCATGCCAGGCACTGCTAAGTATTTTAAATAACCTCACAACAAACCTAGGAGATGATGTTATCATCCCCGTTTTATAGATGGACAAATAGGTTTCTGGAGGTTTCTACCTTGTCCAAGCTAAAAGCTGGGAAGATATGAAGACAGAGCATGTGTCCAAATGCATCTTACTATAAAGTTCATACCCCTAACCACCTATAAAGAATAGCAAAACAATAAGGTGAGTTTCTTTTGTCACCCAGGAGAGTCTGGCTCCAACACTGTCACTTCCTGGCAAAAAGGACAATGAAATCCTTTCAAATACATGTGCTCTTCTGAAAATCAAATGCGAGGGCCTCCTGCTCAGTGAGGCTGGCCTGTATTTCTTCATAGAAACTGAGAGTAGCCAACTGCTCAGGGTACCTAAAAGCTATTTTTGCAGAAACCATCTTGTAGAATGGAACAAGAAAGAAGGTTGACTCTTAGGACATTATTTCCCCAAACGGTGGGAAATTGTTATGAAACATCTCATAAAATCCCATCAAATGTACAAATGGCATGGACAAGTTGAACAACGTTTGAGTGAGTCCTTGAACTTGGGCTGGATTTCCAACAGCTAGCAGAGCCCCAGGCACAGTTCTTTGTTTACAGGTGCTAAACAATCCATCACAGCCCCTCCTTTAAGCCCTGTCCTCCCTGTCCTCACGCATGCCTCTCTGTCCTCCCTCTCATTCCCTTGATAGGTTAGTGTATGTGTTTTCTAATAACAGTTTCAGGTGACCAAAGTCATCTATCTTTCTGGACCTTTTTTATAGGTAGGCAGATTCGAAATTTAGGCCTCTGCAACCAGCTCCAGGCAGATCACTTGACATCCAAGCAATGAACAAAGATTAATACAGGAGCATTGGATGACTTGAGGTGTGCAATAGATTTATGGAATGGTGGCTCTAGTCTAATTAAAAGAAATAAAACTTCCTTTCTAACGCTACTACCCTAGAAGTCACACAATCGAAAATAACCGTTATTGACTTTACCTCTATGTTCCCAAGAAATAAAAGTATACTAGATCAATTAACATTTTCAAGTACTTTAGTAAAATTTACTCCCTGAAATTACATACATTCATCAAAGAATTACATTTGGCCATGTTTCACTATTAATAGTATTAAATGGCCAATAAACATCAGCACGTGTCAGACCTCATCAGACTAAGTCTTACCACAAGCCTGTGGCATAGATACCATTATCCCCACTTAAAGAAAAAAAAAAGGAAGAAAACTAAGGCTTGGAGATTAAGTTTATTGTCCAAAGGCACAACAACCAGGCAGACACGTGATTCAAATCTGAATTCAGAACCACCAAGCATACCTCAGAAGACTGGAGCACCAGGCAAGGAAGCTGCAGAAGAAGTTGCTGTGAAGGGGAGAGCACTCGATCAATGAGATGTCTTCAGAGTTCCCTTACATTAGATAAGGTCTCAATACTGGGTAGAACTCTAGAAATGGTTTGATAATCTCTTAAATTCCCCCATACATACACATGCTTTCTTCAATATCCTCCAATGTCTAAGTACTTGGGCGTTGGAATTGGATAGTCTCAGCTTCTGCCACTTTACAGGTTGTGTGGCCTTTAGTAAATTATTCAGCTCTTGAAGACTCATTGCCCTCATCTTCTATCAAATGGCAACATGATAATTGAACCTGACTCCTAGAATGGTTGTAAAGATTAAGTGAAACAGTATACATAAAGAACTTAGAACATGGTAAGAATTCAATAAATTATAGTCATTAAAATGGCTGGCTTCTCTGAGTCTATCACCCACTGCGTATGGCAAAATATCAGGCCCCACCATGTAGTGTTCCATTTTAACAGGTGTAAGACTTCTTTATATTCAAGCCAATAAAAACAACAGTAGGAGCAACAGCAGCAACACCAGCTAGTTTACTTTTTATTGAGATTTATCTTAAAATCTTCGTAAGTGGGCTAGGAAGTCAGTTTCTCATTTTACAAATATAGAAAGCCTGAAAGATGTTAGCTTGCACAGCTCAATGCAACCAAAGGGGGCAGAACCAAGATCCTGAGCCTAGAGCTCCATGGCACACATAACAAGCACGCCACACATAGCCAGCACGCCACACATAGCCAGCATGCCACACATAGCCAGCACGCCACACATAACCAGCATGCCACACATAACCAGCATGCCACACATAGCCAGCACGCCACACATAACCAGCATGCCACACACAACCAGCATGCTACACATAGCCAACACGCTACATGTAACCAGCACGCCACACATAACCAGCACGCGACACATAGCCAGCATGCCACACATAACCAGCACGCCACACATAGCCAGCACGCCACACATAGCCAGCATGCCACACATAACCAGCACGCCACACATAACCAGCATGCTACACATAGCCAACACGCTACATGTAACCAGCACACTGTGGGTAACCAACATGTTTTTCAGTGAAAGATTAGTCCCATGAGAGAATCTTCAGGGCCAAGGGGAAGGAGAAGCTCTGTGGTCATAGGAATAGAACGCCCTTGCCGGGAGCACCACGATGGACACTAGCATAATAAGGGCTCCAAGAAGTCTTTCCATATTCCCTGTAGGGACTAGCACAGGTGTGAGCACTCAGTAGGCTACCAATAAAAAGCTCTAAATAATGCCTTCCTTGCTTAAAAATATTCAGCCAACAAAACAGAGAACATGAGACGAGAAAGCCCAGAGCATAGAAGAGATGAGAGGCTCATAGACAGTCATAGCTAACAAGAAAATCCTCAAGGCAGAAAAAGGCTGATATATTGTGTGAGCCAAAATTGCTAATTTTTTCTAAATTTGAGGGTAGGCAAAACCTAAAACCCACAAAACACCTAGGAGCCATCCTGAGTTTCTCTCACTCCATTGTTGCCCACACTGAATCCACGGGCAGATTCTCTCAGTACTCACAGGACCTGGCACCAAACTCCAGAACCTCCTGAAAAGCTCATGACCTCATCTATTTATTGCTATTGTACCACTGACAACTACCCTAGACAAGCCACCATCATCTCTCCTTAACCAGCACAGGAGCCTCCAACTGCCCTTCCCGCTCCCATTCCTCCCAACAGCTACAACCTGGTCCACACACAGCAGCTAGAGTGATCTTTCCACCACCACCATAAACCAAAATATGCCGAGCATCCACATAAAATCCTCCAGCTGTACTTAGAATACAATCCAAATTTCTTCTTATAAACTCTTTGTTCTAGACTATACACTTCTCTGATCATCTCACACCACACTTTCCTGCCACACTCTCTCCTTTCCTGTTTGTGGAACGACCTCATCTTTTATCACACCAGGCTTGAACTCACAGCTCCCTTGCCTGGAACACCCTTTCCCCAGATCTTCACACGTAACTGGCTCTTTCTTTACCTTCACTTCATAGCTTCACTGTCGTCTCCTCAAAAGAGTCCTCCCTGACATCCCATCCCACCCATCTTCCGTGGCATCATCACCCTCACAGCAGCCACCAGTACCTGAAATGTCCTGTGTGCCTGCATGCTATCATTCTGACTGGAACGTAGTCTTCACAAGAGCAGGGACTTCCCTCTGGTTTGCATCTGCTCCTCCATAGCACATAGTGTGAGTGCCAGGGGTATTTACTGAGTAAATGGATGGTTAGATGGTTCCTATGTTGGAGTAACGGGGTCCCATCTAATGGTAGGAAGGTAGACAGGGAGGCAGAGCAGCACCTGCCAGACCAGGCCTCCAGGAGAACTATCTACAGCACAGAGCCCTCCAGAGACACACGCCTCACTCCAGGAACCCTCAGAGACTCTGAAGAACAGTTCTGTGTCCCTCCCACGAGCTATGGCATTAAAACATGGGCAGCTTTATGAGATTAGGGGACTCAGAGGGTTATATAATCTAGATTATCTAATTCACTCTTCACAACCACCCACTGAAGTCAGTATAATCCCTAAATCACAAAACGAGGAAAGCCAGGCTTGGAGAGGTTGACTCACTGCCTGGGGTAGAATCTGTGCCCTCCTACCAGATTCAGAATATTAGAATCTGCCCACCAACCATTCTAATATTTATCTTGTGCCATTTGCGATCTCAATTGCTCACTTTTGGTATAATTTAGGGCTGTAGAAAATACTTCATTGAGGAGTCAACTGAGAGAAAAATATATTTTTCAGACATATTGAACTCAAGATGATGTCAGAATTTAGAAGAAACTTAAGAGTACTATGTTTATAGATTTATTTCGCCCTTTTCCACCTCTATATTTGACAGGCGGTGAGGCTAGGGAAGAAACATCCCTAAGAAAAGGTCTGGGAGTCTTGCATTCCAATGAGACCACCACAGAGGAGCTGGCACTGAATTCCAGAGCCACTAGGGACTATGCTGGATTGGAATTTATAACCTTTAGTTTTCCAGGCTTCTCTTAATGTGATTTTTTCCCTGCAATGATATCTCTGAATGATGAATAATTGACATAATATTCAACACGTATGAAGATAGATGTGATCACAAGGCTATCAATCTATCCATTTTAATGCTTCCTTTGCCCACATTCCTGATGGGCCTGGAGATGAATGGGGGAGGGGAGATCCTGCAGAGCCTAGGAATGAAAACGGTACAACAGCCTCAACTATAGTGTTTTCAGGATTCTTTTGGGGGTGGGGCGAAGAACTTTGGTTCAGCAGCACCTTGTTAAGACTCTCTGGGGAGCCACTAGTCAGGTGGAGAGGCAGATCCCGATGATGAATGGACTTCTCAAGCCTTTTTTTCTTAGTATGTTTTCTCAGCCATAAGATGACTGAAAAAATACAGATTCAGAAACACACAAAAAGATACACACAGAGATCTATACATTCATACATGAATGCTTGCACACATACAGAGATACACACACAGTCTGAGCCTGGCAAAAGCCTGCTTAATTTTTAGAAGGTCTGCTAGGCTGATCCCTGTTTAGGTTAAAAGAAAAAAAGTAAAATGACCTACAGGACAAGCTTTGTCTTTAGAATAAGAAACATAGGGAGAATCTACTAAATTTGGGGAACATGGTACTTTCAGTGAATCTTGGGTAAATGTGAATAAATTTCTCAAAACTAAGTTTTGATGAATACTGGTAAGACTTCTTTTAATTCTCAGACATTATAAGACCAACCCAAGGACAAGAATGTATTATAATGTTAGGATGTTTCTCAGCTTACTTTTATAAATAGAATCCCTTTTAACCTATTTAGTTAACAGTAATGAGAAGTGAGAAGTTAACAGTGAGAAGACTAATACATATACATACAAGATGTTGAGGTTATTATTATAATTATTCTGTTCTATAAACCTTAACATTTCTAGTATACCTATAAAATTCATTCTCCCAAGTAACCAATAGAACTCCAATTACATGTTTCTAACTATTATACAATTTTGCCACTTGGCATTCTATGATATTGAACTTCTCAATTAGTCTCAAAGTAATCAAATTGCCTATCTTTTAAAATAATGATGAATGTGATATAGAGTCATCTAATACAATTCCAAAATATTAAGAATCTTAGTCATTAGGACAGAGTTAACGGATAACATGAACTGAAGTCTTATTTGTGCCAGACACTGTGCTCACAGATTTTCCTTCATTGTCTCATATAACCCTTAAGCCATGCCATGAAGGGTACTATTAACCTTACTTTACAGGTGAAAAAAGTGAAATTAAGAAATACTAAGTTGTCCTGTACTAGGTAAGTGGCAGAAGAGAGTTAGGTCTTGCTCCCTGTCTTATTCTATTTTCTGTGCTGTAACTGAATACCCAACACTGAGTAATTGATAAAGAAAATAAATTTTTTTTTCCAGTTCTGGAGGCTGAGAAGTCCAAGAGCATAGCACTGGCATCTGGTGAGGGCCTTCTAGCTGCATCATAACATGGCAGAGGACATCACAGGACAAGAGGGCGAGAGTGTGTGTGTCAACTCAGATCTCTCTTCCTTTTCTTATAAAGTCACTAGGTCCATAATGGGGAGCTCCACCCTGATGACCTTATTTAATCCTAATTACCTCCCAAAGGCCCTACCTTCAATCAGCATATGAACTTGGGGATTTAGTTTCCAATACATAAAATTCTGGGGACTCATTCAAACCATAGAACTCCCCTATCCACTGACATTCTGACAGTAAACGCTCTTAACAATTACATGATTGTGTATGAAATTTCTAAATGATTGATATGGTTTGGCAGTGTCCCACACGAATCTCATCTTGAATTATAACTCCCAGAGTTCCCATGGACACATCATGGGAGGAATCTGGAAGGAGGTGATTGAATTATGGGGGCAGGTCTTTCCTGTGCTGTTCTCATGATAGTGAATGAGTCTCACGAGATCTGATGGTTTTAAAAATGAGAGTTTCGCTGCATAAGCTCTCTCTTCTCTTGTCTGCTGCCATGTGAGAGATGGCTTTCACTTTCTGCCATGATTGTGAAGCCTCCCCAGCCACGTGGAACTAGAGGTCCAATAAATTTCTTCTTTGTAAATTGCCCAGTCTCAGGTATTTATTAGCAGTGTGAAAATGGACTAATACAGTAAATTGGTACCAGTAGAGTGGGGTGCCGCTAAAAGATACCCAAAAATGAGGAAGCATCTTTGAAACTGGGTAAGAGGCAGAAGTTGTAACCATTTGGAGGGCTCAGAAGAAGACAGGAAAAGGTCAGAAAGTTTGGAACTCCCTAGAGACTTGTTGAATGGCTTTGACCAAAATGCTTGTAATAATATAGACAGTGAAATCCAGCTTGAGGTGGCGATCTCAGATGGAAATGTGTAACTTGCTGGGAACTAGAGCAAAGGTGACTCTTGTTATGTTTTAGCAAAGAGACTGGCAGCATTTTGCCCCTGCCCTAGAGAGTTGTGGAACTTTGAACTTGAGAGAATGATTTAGGGTATCCAGTGGAAGAAATTTCTAAGCAGCATATCATTCAAGATGTTACTTGGGTGCTGTTAAAGGCATTCAGTTTTATAAGGAAAGCAGAGTATAAAAGTTCTGAAAATTTGCAGCCTAATAATGCAATAGAAAAGAAAATCCCATTTTCTGAGGAGAAATTCAAGCTGACTGTACAAGTTTGCATAAGTAACAAGAAGCCAAATGTTAATACCCAAGACAATGGGGAAAATTTATCCAGGGCATGTCAGGGGTCTTCCTGGCAGCCCCTACCACCACAGGCCTGGAGACCTAGGAGAAAAAAATGGTTTCATAAGCTGGGCCCAGAGTCTTTGTGCTGTGTGCAGCCTAGGGACTTAGTGCCCTGCATCCCAGCTGCTCCAGCTGTGGCTGCAAGGAGCTAATATAGAGCTCAGGCCATGGCTTCAGAGGGTGCAAGCCTCAAGCCTTAGCAGCTTCCATGTATGCTGAGCCTGCAAGTGCACAGAAGTCAAGAATTGAGGTTTGGGAACTTCCACCTAGATTTCAAAAGATGTATGGAAACACCTGCATGCCCAGGCAAAAGTTTGCTGCAGGGGCAGGATCCTGATGGAGAACCTCTGCTAGGGCAATGCAGAAGGGAAACGTGGGGTCAGAGCCTCTACACAGTGTCCCCACTGAGGAACCATCTAGTAGAGCTGTGAGAAGAGGGCCACTGTCCTCTAGACCCCAGAATGATAGATCCACTGGCTGCCTGCACTGAGCACCTGGAAAAGCCACAGACACTCAATGCCAGCCCGTGAAAGCAGCTGGGAGGGAGGCTGTACCCTGCACAGCCACAGAGGCAGAGCTGCCCAAGACTGTGGGAACGCACCTCTTGCATCAGCATGACCTGGATGTGAGACCTGGAGTCAAAGGAGAACATTTGGGAGTTTTAAGATTTGACTGCCCCGCTGGATTTCAGACTTGCATGGGGCATATAGCCTTTTTGTTTTGGTCAATTTCTCCCATTTGGAAGGGCTATATTTAACCAGTGCCTGCACCCCCATTGTTACTAGGAAGTAACTAACTTTTGATTTTACAGGCTCGTAATTATGTGAAAGGGGCTTGCCTTATCTCAGAATGCCTTGCATGTGGTAACACATAGCTTTCCCAAACTCACACTTGTAATCTTCACCTCTTTGACACTACTTTAGGAATAGTAGTAAAATTTTATAGTAAATTATAAATTTTATAGTAAATAGACGTTGGACTGTGGACTTTTGAGTTAATGCTGATGTGAGTTAAGACTTTGGGCAACTGTTGGGAAGGCAGGATTCAATTTGAAATGTGAGGACATGAGATTTGAGAGGGGCCAGGGGCAGAATTATTTGGCTTGGCTGTGTCCCCACATAAATCTCATCTTGAATTGTAAATCCCACAATTCCTACATGTGGTGGGAGGAAACCCAGTGGGAGGTGATTGAATTATGGGGTGGGTCTTTCCTGCACTGTTCTCATGATAGTGAATGAGTCTCACAAGATCTGATGGTTTTAAAAACAGTAGTTTCCCTGCACAGATTCTCTCTTTGCCTGCTGCCATCCCTGTAAGATATGACTTGCTCCTCCTTGCTTTCTGCCATGATTGTGAGGCCTCCCCAGCCATGTGGAACTGTAAGTCCAGTAAACCTCTTTCTTTTGTTAAGTTGCCCAGTCTTGAGTATGTCTTTATCAGCAGCATTCAAGCAGACTAATACAGTGATGAAACTCAAATACATTACTTTGGGAGAAAATGGCAGAGGAAATTATTTGTAAGCTTATAAAGTCTAACATTGGCCCTCAAAAAACTTGCAATTGACTTTTTTTTTTAATTTAGAAAGTTTTCTTTTTAAGTTATAAACCCTTGTGTCAAGGGCTGACTTTCAACAGGTCACAGTGAGGGAGTTGTTCTGCCGCATACAAAACCCTGACCCAGAAGTAGGTCATCTATGAATGGTTTAGTGCTAGGTTCCACATGCAATCAACTTTTTATTTACTAAAATTTCTGAAAACAATAGGTTTATTACTAAAAATTCCAACAGAACACAAACCATTATTCTTCAGTCAGGTCAGAACCAAGTGTTTACTTCAGGGAAATTTGCCACCAATGAGCTTTGGGTAGTCTATAAACCCCTTAAAAAGTCAAATGTATCGTGCCTACATGGATTTCTCTGGAATGAAAGTCCACAGCTTTGACCAGTTTTTCAAAGGGTTCCAGGACCAGTATACCAGAAATAGACAACATTTGGATAGTGAACCAAGAAAAGGACTCCTAGAAATTTCATCTTCCCCAAGATAATAGAGGTATGTATCAACAAAGCAGCAACATTACAAGGGGAAAAAAGAAAGATTACATTAAAGATGCAAGATTTTTAACTTACAACTACCTACTTTTACTCATGAAACAATATACCTCTTTCTTCTTGTTTGAGACTTAGCCTGTTTCAGAGAGCAAAAATTCTTCTGAATCACTTTTGGCCTTGGGCAATTTTGTTGGCATTGGGCAATTTTGTTGGCATTGTGGTAACACATAGCTTTCCCAAACTCACACTTGTAATCTTCACCTCTTTGACACTACTTTAGGAATAGTAGTAAAATTTTATGGTAAATGAAAGTATATTTTTAAGTGAAAAAAATCAGAGTATTGAACAGTATGCCTAATGTGTTTTCATTTGTATTTTTATAAAGAAAAGAAAAAGAAGAGGTGAGAGAAAATATACATATTTGCTTGTATTTATATAGAATATTTCCTAAAGCTTACACGAGAAACTGCTAACATTGGATGCTTCCAGGGTGGAGACAGGGTAGACAAGAGATAATTGTTTACTTTTGAGTTACTTTTGAAGCTATCCAAATGTACAAATTTTAGAAATACGTCCAAGAGAATCAAAGAATAGCAAGATTTCGTCTTCATTTCATATTTGGCTAAACTTATTTCTGCTTTTCTTAACTGAAATATATGCTATTGGGAGTTTACTAGCTTCTTTTTAAAGTCAACGAGAAAAAGTTAAGGCACATGAATTGTCACACCAGTCTCTTAGAATTGAGAAAACCCTATCAAGTATTCTAAAACATTTAGAAAATTCTGCAGCCTTTAGTTGCAATGTATAGCAATTTATATATACGGTAACTTTTGATTCAATATTGTACAATAATATGAATTTTGAAGACATTTAAAGCAACAATGAGATATTCACATGGTATGATGGTCCCCCAAAATTCATGTGTTGAAACTTAATGCCCAAGAGGTGAGAACTTTTGAGAAGTGATTAATTATAAGGATTACTGCCTTATAAAAGAGGTGACACAAATTAGTTTAGGCTCTTTTGCCCTTCTATCCCTACCAGCATGTGAGGATACAGTGTTTGTCCCTTCTGGAAGATACAACAACAAAGTGCCAACTTGGAAGCAGAGACCAGGCTCTCATCAAACACTGAACCTGCTGGCACCTTAATCTTGGACTTTCCAGTCTCCAGAACTATAAGAAATAGATGTCCATTCTTTATAAATTACCCAGTCTGTGGTGTTTCGTTATAGCAGCACAGATGAACTAAGTTATCATCTTTAATTTACATTTACCTTAAATCATGCTACCAAAAATATCTCCCAGCCAAAGTGACAATCAGTGAACAGATTCCTTCTATAAACTCCAAGTTCGAATATGAACAAAGACAGCCTCTGATCTGTCACTACTCATTCCTTTGCCTAGAAAGTTTCTTTTGATATTAACTCTAAAAAGCATCTCAACCTCGGAAGTGTTAAAATAGGGGCTGGGGAGTAAAAAAACAACACACAGGTCAGGCACGGCGGCTCACACCTGTAATTCCAGCACTTTGGGAAGCTGAGGCGGGCAGATCACAACGCCAGGAGTTCGAGACCAGACTGTCCAACATGATGAAACCTCGTCTCTAGCATAAATACAAAAATTAACCAGGTGTGGTGGCACGTGCCTGTAATCCCCGCTACTCAGGAGGCTGAGGCAGAAGAATTGCTTGAATCCAGGAGGTGGAGGTTGCAGCAAGCCAAGATCACGCCACTGCACTCCAGCCTGGGTGATAGAGTGAAACTCCGTCTCAAAAAAAAAAAAAAAAAAAGGAAAAGAACACAACACACTCACTAGTGTGGCCAAATTTTAAAAGAGAGACAATACCAAGTTTGGGCATGGATACAGAGTAATTCGAACTCTAACATATTTCTGATGGGAATATAAAATAGTACAACCACATTCAAAAACAATGTGGCAGTTTCTAATGAAGTTACATAGCACCTATCTTATGATTCAGAAATTTCACTCCTGAGTATGTTCCCAAGAAAAGGTAGTGCATATGTCCACAAAACAGTATACATGAATGTCTATAGTGTCATGATTCACAAGAGATAAAGATGGAAATAATCCAAATATCCATTAGCAGGAAAATGAAGGAACTTTGGCAATCCATATAATAGAATACCTCTCAGCAATTAAAAAGAAAAAACGAACTACATGCAACAATTTCGATGACTATCAAATGCATTATGTTGAATGAAAGAAGTCACCAATAAACGGAATGCATACCTTATTATTCCATTTACAGAAACTTCAAAACCAGACAAAATAATCTCCAGTGATAGAAAGCACATTATGATTGCTCTGGTAAGAAGAATGGATTGACTGCAAAGGGAAATGAGGGAAGATTCTGGGGTGATAGGAAAGCTCTGTATTACAGCTGGGGAATCTTACATAGGTGTTTATATTTGTTAAAATTTCTCAAGCTGTACATTTAAGATTTGTGCATTTTACTGTATATAAATTGACCATCAATAAAATATTCCTAGTATTTGAAAAATCCACATTACAATTGAGGCAAGGTGTTACATAGTTATTTTTGAATCTCTAATACCCAAAGAATGAGACAGAAACAGAGAGATCTAGCAATTCTAAAAACAATGAAATAGGAGCTCTATCAAATGCAAATTCCATCTCAGTTCTGACTTTACTACTGCCTTGATCCTGGCAATTTACCGTCTTTTCTGTATTTATAGAGCAGCTGCTCTAGATCTGTGAATTTGTCTTTTAGTCGGCAGATCTTATGAGAATCTATTCAAGCAATGGCATCAACTCCAGAAAAATGAATATACATAAACCATTTTGCATAGGATCCCAGAGGGTCATAAATGATCTAAAAGTCATCAAAGATGGCAGGGTAGGTGGCCCTGGAGAGATGTTTTATCAGACTCTTCAAAGCTCAGAAGCTCCTTGTTAAATTATAAGTTCTTGTCTAAATCAAACCAATGGCCTCTAAAATGCAAATTGATCCATTGGAGTGTGGAAGTATTTATTATTTTAATTAAAAAATAAGTATGATGTTTCACTAATATCTAACCCATATGAAGTCAGTAATAAACAACTTAGAAATATATATAAGCTAGGGATTCCTGCTCAAAAATTTTATATACAAAGATATATCACCTAAAAATGTTGACCTTGCTCCTCTATTTTAGACCTTTGAATTTCATGGAATTTACATGGAAATTTCATGGAATTCCCAATGTTTGGGAATTATTTTTATTTTTTTGTTTTTGCCTTTTAAAAAAATGACCCCCTACCTTCATTATAATTTTAGAAAAGAAAAATAATAAGGTAGGAAAGACAGTCCCAGGATTAAAATAAAATATTTAAAACAATAAATTATACATAATATATTATCATGCTTTTTAATTTTACTATGGAAGAAAAAACTTCATTGCAAAGCATCTCTAGGGCACAGCCTTAAATGCTAATCTCATCGAATTTCAACCCTATTTTATTTTGCCTCCACCAAGCTCACATACATGAAAAAGAAAGAGCTCAGGAATTTTTTACTGTCAAATAGCCATGCCCCTTTGCAGAATAAGAATTATACTTTGGTTACATTTAAGAGTTAGACTATGAGTAGAAAAGAGTTTTCACCTTCTTTCTGCCTCCCTTGGCTATTTAGAAGACCCACTGGCAGTCAAATTAAAAAAAAAAAATGCTTGCTGATTGACTAACAAGTCACTTAGGACTTATGAAGCAGAAGAATTCATACATATATCCAACATTATTATCTGAGATGGCCACAAAACTGGTGTACAAAGCTGCTCAGTGACTTGGAACCCAGTATGTTTCACTATCCACCAAACCTTGAGCAATTGGTCCTCACCAAATGCTTCAACAGACCATGCTATTTCCCCCTCTCACAAGTAACATATGAGATAATGGATGTGGCGATGGGAAGAGATGGGACTGGGAAGAAAAGATTTTTACCTTTAGGCCAGGCATTGGCCAAATCCAGCCTGCTACTTGTTTTTGTATAGCCTGCAAACTAAGAATGGCTTTTATGTTTTTCATTAGTTAAAATGAAAAGAAGAATGTTTCATGACATATGAAAATGATACAAAATTCAAATCAGTGTCCATAAATAAAGTTTCATTGGAACACAGTCCTGCTTATTAGTCTTCAAATTGTCTGTGGCTATTTTCCACTACAATGCTGTAGTTGACAGAGACCACATGACCCATAAAGCCTAAA